GAGTGCCGGTGGGAGAACTCTACCCTGCTGTCCATGTTTACAGTCTTCAAGGTAGCGGTGCAGAGGACTTGTCTTTCAGGTGGATGATTAAATGAGTGGCACAACAAGAAGTGAAACAATTAGAATTTCTGCCTCATTATCATGGTAATCTTATCAGCGGGATAATGAGGTATTAATGGGTATTTAATGTGCATCTCATAACCCAATCCCTTGGAGAAAACACACAAGGAAATCACTGTAAATTCACTTAATGATGGAAAAGTCCCCCAACGCCATATTCCAAAGAATGAAAAATGGTGGATGCAAATGAGAAGAAAGCAAGGTCAATAAGACTGGGGGGACTGAGTGAATGTCAAAGAGAGAGAGAGAGAGAGAGAGAGAGAGAGAGAGAGACGAGGAGCAGAGTGAGGGCTGTGGACAGATATTCAGAGGACAAACTGGAGGCTGAATCTTTTCTTCAAAGCTGTGTTTACATCACATTTATGATGACAAAATACCTGTGGTACCAAGCTCTCCTGCCCCCTGCTGGTATTCTACCTACATGGACCACCGTACAACCACAGTCCCCGTGTGCAGCTGCGACACTTCTGGACGTGGCCCAGTGAAGCAGCGGTCCAAACGCTCACCTGCGATCTCCTGCAGTCGATCTTCATCCATGTTGGGGTCAAAGTCACTTCCAAGGACGTCAGTGCTCCAGGTTTCACTGACCGTCTCGGAGATGTCCCGGTCATCCGTCAGACCCATCATGTCTCTGATCTCAAACTTGCGGAGTTTGTCGTCCAGGTTGTCCTGAGTTGTTGCTGAAAGATATTTGAGGCCTCGTGTGAAACCAAACCTTCACATGTGTACCTTCGTATTAGACAGTACTTAAACACAGGCTCCACACCCTGTTCATGTTCAAGGAGCTGCAGAGCCTCCACTCCATTGCTGCCTGATGGTCCAGCTCCCAGCTCAGAAACAGACTCTCCCTCCAGGTCCAAGGAAGACACAGAGTTAGAACGATTGGACGGGCCTGGACAAACCACACACACAGACTGATATGGAAATGTTTGGGACAAATCATCAAAGAACAACATGTAGCTGTCACTGATAAACACTTGTAAAAACGTGGATACTGTTGAAGATCACCACAGAATAAGGATCAACAGATGTGGACATGGACTGTGAGCAGATGGATGTAGTGATGGAGTAAAGACGGAGTAATGACGAAGTACTGATGGAGTAAAGATGGAGTACTGATGAAGTAATGATGAAGTAATGACGAAGTACTGATGGAGTAAAGATGGAGTAAAGATGTAGTAAAGATATAGTACTGATGGAGTACTGACCCTCAGAGATTCCTTCCAAGTTGTCACTGCAGAGGGAGAAACGCAAGGTTTTGTCTGGTTTACCGTGCAGTTTGTTATCATCAGCATGACCTTCGCCCTGAGCCCCATCAGACAACTGCATGTTCAAAACCTTTGGAGAAAAACACGGCACAAAATGGTCAGAAAAGATTCAACTGCAGACTGGACTTGATGAAGAGACTTCACGTGTTATGCTGCTGCTTCTACTACTACCCTGTTAGAGGAAAGTCTTCACGTGTTATGCTGCTACTTCTACTACTACCCTGTTAGAGGCCCAAGGAGGCATTAATGGCACATGCACAATTAATCCAGTAGAGGGCAACACATGTACTCAACTGGTTACAGTGGATGGATGGATGGATGGATGGAACGAGGAGATGAATTCATTGTCTAACGTGTTTACATTTGTTCACATTTAGTCACACTGACTCTGGATGAACTTTTGTCTTTTGTCAGAAAATCAAACTGAAAGGTGTTTTGAGACAGTAGGTCCATTTACTGACATGGAGAAGACAATAATTGCAAAGCTTTATTATAATTCATTGGGACTAATTAAACTAAGCATGTGAGCTCAGAAAGAAGGTCACGTCAATGAGGCTCATCACTGACATCATAATGTTGACCAATCACCAGCTCAGTCACGTTACCTCGTTCTCTGACATCATCCCAGGGACATTCTGTGGACCAGTTCCCATTGAAATCACCATAACCTCCTCTGGCATCAGCTCCTGCAGAGACTCTTGTGAACTTGCCTCTGCCTCCCCCTCCTGGGCTATGTTGGAACGGCTGCGGCTACGAGCATTTGCTAGATTTTAGGGATAGAAAGAATTCACAAAGAACTAGAGTTAATTTCTGATGGTTATGTTTACAGAAAGCAGCAACATCATATGGAAAATGTCTTTTTTTTTTAAATGAGGTGCGTTGATTGAAACACAGGCAGAAATCAGGACATAAAATGCCGATACTGTATGAACATCTGTTTTCTAGAGCAGTTCCAAACCATGTTCTATTTTCCACAACAAAAAAAACAAGATTTCTTAATAAATAAATTAGGATTATTATTCTGCTGATTTTAAATTACTGAAAGAAAATGTTTCCTCGGTGATTAGTGTTAGAACGAAGATAGATCTGTTTTCATAAAGCATGTTGTAAATGTCAGCATCTGAATTATGTTGCCTTTCTACTGCAGTAAGATGGATTTTAATAACCCTGATACATGACAAAATATTATCATGTGACAAAATGTAGGTTCAGTTTTTAGTTCTGCTGAGACGAATTAAAGCATTTAGAGCAACACCTGACCCTTTAGGTTCATGCTGTACACACACACACACCGTTGTTATCACTATCACTAATGCAGTTCCACTTCACAGCTTTTTGTCATCCACCTTTGACCTAAATTAAAATGAAATCCACCCAGTGTTTAGGACCAGGAGCAGGATTTTAAGACACTGAAAATGTCTTTGTGTTAAACTTTTATCTCGGTTCAAAAACATAACTTAAAAACTCAAATAATTGGGATATTTGTAAAGTAGAACTAAACTCAAATTAAATTACTTTGTTGACTAAACTAGTTCTTAATCAACATAAAAAATCATTTTCAGAACAACAACATTTTTCCAACTCTACCTCTTTTCAGAACAACATTTTTCCAACTCTACCTGGTGATGACCAGGGAAATTCCACTGAATGAGGGAAAAAGACAAGTCGAAAATGGGCAAATGAGGCAAATTATGGAATATTAACTAAGGCAAAGCAAGCATGGTGGGGGGGGGGGAGCTCGGGGGGGAGAGAGAGCGAGTGAATGGATACAGACTAGATGAACACTCCAGCACCACCCACTGACTACCCACCAAAAGGGGTAACTATTGGAATGTGGGCAGACAGGGTGGTGCTGGTGGGGTCCCAGGAGGTGATGGCAGCTAAGTGTTGTCCTGGTCAATCATTGGCAGCACAGGAGGAAACCAGAAGGACAAGGTTTAAGGAACACAAAGTGAAAATGTTTGTTTCAATTCAAATGAGTTCATTTATATTTGGTAATTGAACTGGTTGTCATTTCTCTAATTGAGCCTCATTCCAGGCCATGCTAATTATCTTCATAACAAGCTGAGGACAAAGCTCATTAACTTTTGATAACAGAGCCCTCTAACTAGCCATCACCACTCAGCTGCAGTGTACTTGTTGTTAAACCAACCAATGATGTCGCTGCTGCAGCTGCTGCTTCAGATAGTCACATCCATTCAGAGCGTCATATTTGGAAGTGACTAGAGACTGGATCATCATGTGACCATGACATCATTAGGACAGATACCTATGGGGAGTCGGTTCTTTTTGTTGGCAGGAGTGGTAGCAGGAGACAGCTGCGGGGTGTTGGACGGTGTGAGCTCCAGGCTGTTGCTTTTCACAGTGTTGGACTGGGGCACGTTAGCCACTAAGTTCTCCAGGGCCACGTGCTCCTCCTCCCGTAGGTGGTCCCCAGCAGTCACGCTCCGCACAAAGTCCACCTGTAGGACACAGAGAGGACGTTCACCACTGCTGGTCCTCGTCAAAGACCTGTGTTGATGAGCTGGGCTACGGATGTTGTTCTGTGGAAAATCCTCTTTACTGAACAAGTGAAATTCAACTAGTGTATGCCACCTTGTGGTGGAGCCTTGGCTCTACATGGTCCTGAGGCCATTATTGGAACAGACCTTAGACTGAACACAGCCTGACATTAGTCACTCTGTCAGGCACTGGAACTTACCAACGCTAGCAGCTGATGATGAGTAATATAGACGGCCGTCCTGCTCAGGCCTTCTAGAAGGTTCATCGAGGACATGGGTGGAGTCTCCACTGCTCTTCCTCCAATTACTACATCCAGAAAGGCAGCAACACAACTCTGGATGTAAACAAAAGAGGAACTTTTTTGTTGTTGTTGTCACCACAGAAGAAGAAAATCATGAATTTGCATGTGAAAACAACAGTGAAATACTGTATGTTTTAAATTTGCATGTGAAAAAAACAGTGAAATACTGTATGTTTTACACCCACCTTATCGAATTTTGACAAACTGCTCTTCCGTCTTGGATCAGCATCATCATCAGCCATGGCTAACTGCTGCAACAGCTGCCCCACCTGCAGAACAACACTGACTGTCAGCTTGTTATTGGACTTTGGGTGACATTAAGGTCCAGCTCAGCACTGACCTGCATCAGATTAAAGCGGGCCACTTCATTGATGGGAGCATCGGAGATGATGCCGTACTGCTCCGGATTGACGATAGCTGGACAGATGAAGCAGGTCAGCAGCAGGTCTGTGCACATGGTCCTCACCTCGCCCACCTCCAGGCGCTCCACACAAGACAAGGTCTTGTACATCTGGGACACGATCCAGCGCAGGCTGTGAGGGAAGCAGTAGGTGTTTTGCTTTAAGTAACCAATGAATTTGTTGACCAGAGCGACCAGCTTCCCTTCGTTGGCTTCCACCGCGGCCTGCACCCTCTGTCTGTAGGCCTCAGAGCCCTTCTCTCCAAAACGTTCCCTCTGAGCTGGAGTGAGGCGCTCAGTGACCTTGGATGGATCGGTCTCCAGGTGATTTTCATCTTCCACCAGCAGCTGCATGATGGGTTCATGGAGGGTGGCGGTGAGGAAAAGCTTGGCCGAGTACAGGCCTTCGGAGAAGAGTTTGAAAAGGATGCTGAAGGCGCAGGTGCCACGCCGCAGCAGACGTCGAGGGTTGTCGTTCTCCTTCAGCTCAAACTCTATCAAGTATCTCAGCACCTGGGAGAGATCAAACACAGACATGACACAGTTACTCCTGCTGAGAAACTGTCTTTGGTCATTTTCTGTCTGAGGGAGGGCGTCACACCTGCAGCAGGTAACTCTCATCCTCCTGCATGATGCAGTTGCCATAAAGTGAGGTAAAGACAGTGTGGATCACCCCCTGGGTGTGCTCTTGGTTCAGCCTCTCTCCCGCCACCAGACACGAAGCTACCAGTCTGGGGTTCTCCCTCAGCCGGGCCAAAAACTCCCCGTAGATGGTCTCCTGATAGCCCAGCGTCTTGTAGCCGTCAACAAACTGCGTGTCCTCCAGCATCTTTGCATGTTGGCAGCACTCAGCGGGAGAGGCCTCAGCACTGGAGAAGAGACGAAGAAGAGACACACGTGTGTTTAAGCTCTTTGACTAAACACGACACCATGTCCCACCGAGGACAGGAATAAGAAGGACACGGGTCAGGTTTTAGGTCCTGGTGTTAAACTGGGCTCAGCACTGAGTGGTCCTCAAACCTGCGTTTTTGGATTTTTAAGGACAGCGTGATTTGTTGGGCTCTGACCTGGTGAGGATGAGACGATCCAGGTTGATCCTCTGCTGCTTGGCGATCCATGCTGCCCGGTACAGCCTCTCAGCGGTCTTCAGCACGTCGCTGTTGAGCCTCTGGATGAGCTGTCTCTCTGATGCCACATACAGCCGCTCCTGCTTCAGGTGGTGGGCCAGAGTGTGGATGTCTGGCTTCACCATCGTGACCAGCTCCGACAGGAAGAGAGTCAAAAAACTGAAACAAAGTGAGTGAAGAGACCTTTACAGGACATGATGGTGAGAGACGTTTGTCAACACTCTCAACGACAAATGTACAAATACCAACTTCATCGATGGTTAGTGTGAAATGAAGAGTTCAGTAAAAATGTTCTGACAGTATAAAGTGGAGATTGTTGTTTCTACAGGCACCTCTAGAAAACACACAGAACGTGTGTGTGTGTGTGTGTGTGTGTGTTGGGTCTTGTGGGTGTGTGGGTGTCTGTTTCTCTGTTTCTTCACTGTGTATGATGACATCATTACCCTTGACCAAACCACAACTTAAACTATAATGCTTGACTTATTTTGTCACCAATACTAAATGTGATTGTTTTGTGTGTTATGCACTGAGTACGTATTGGTTTAACATCTGTTGGATCAATAGTCAAAGGAGAAACAGGAACTGGTCCAACAAGTGTCTAAATACTAGGCTCGCCTCATACAGGGGAAGTCATGTTTTGCATTCAGTCAGTTGGCCCACTGACTACTGACAAAACTGCAGTACAGTTGACTGCAGCTTTATTTCACTCTGCTCAGGGCACATCACTTTGTTACCTCGTATATTTCTCAGTTTAAGATTGTATTTCATACCAGTTAGGCAGGCAGGAAGGTGTGGGGCCAATCTGATTAGTCATGACAGAAGAGTGGGTTACATCCCAGAAAATGTGGGAGGAAGCTGGAGAACCCAGAGTCACTCACAGAGGTATGGTCAGACACAGAGATGGAGACTGGCAGGTGTGCACCTCACCTACTCTGACCAACCCCCACACCTACAGCCAGGGCTGGTATTACTGTCCCGGACTGTGATTATAATGATTCTGTTCAGAGTGGGACAGAAAATGTTCTGTTTTCCTCTGTCACCATAATCTCACAAACGTGCGTGAAAAAAATGGTCTAACTTCTATTTTATTAAGTTTGCTCAAAAAGGCTGCACACTGGTGAGTGAGTGGGTGAGTGAGTG